CCCCCCCCCCCCCCCAAAATCTCCTTGGAAATACCGGACCTAATGATCTACACAGCCCTGCAATCATGAGCTTCTGGACCCCTACATCCCTCCTCCAAAGCTGAATAGCCCTAGTCTCTTCAAGCCTTGTTCAAATGGTTTCAAGCCCTCTCATCACCCCGGTTATTCTCCATGGACAAGTGCCAGTGTGCTTCATATGCGGTCTCAGCAGCACCAAAGAGAACAAATCTGTAATTGCACCGGGATATTACCCTTCCATTACCGCAGTCCCAGGTCACGTCTGCTGTCCAGCAGCCCCACTGCAATGCCGGGGCTCACTGTGCTTTCTGAGGATGAAAACCGCCATCTGTGTCTTTTTCCCCGGGTGGTGCAGAGACACGTCCTCCCGGGCACATCCTTGATCATTGGTTGCTTTTGGACAGACTAGATGACACTTATCCCACGAGGCAGTCTGGGATCAGTAGACGGAAAACAACTCTCTTACAATTAGGTTTGTTCAAACACAGGCTAAACTGGCCTAGTGTGGTACTGCCTGCCTATCCATGAGGTTTGCAGGCAGAATTCATCCGGAGGTCACGCAGCTGCCAAAGCGTGGCCAGCACTTGGTGAGAATGCCTCCCGCTCTAAAATCCCCTGCTTCTATCACACAACACTCGAAGATGGAGGAAGAGCAAGCTCCACGTGGGCTCACGTGCAAGAGCCAAGGGCGCCGTGACGGAAAAACACGACGGGCATCACGCCTACTCTTGGCCCTGGACAGTCCAGAGCGTCATCAGCTTTTCTGCCACAAATCACTTCATGCTCACCACCACCCTGTGAAGTGAGGCATCCCAGTTTGCAAATGACAAATGAGCTCGGGTCAAATCACTTCTCTGGGTCGCCCAGGAGGTTGGCAGAGCCAGGATGCCAAATTAGTGGTCTCTGACACCATCGTCCAGGTTCATCCTATGCTTCCCTGCAAATCACAGGAGGAAACGGGAAAGGCCAAGGGCCATCAGTTGGTGGGAATCTGGAATGCTAGGGTAAGCAGTTTTGATTGAATGCAGGAGAGAAGAAAAAGACCACAGCTTTTTTTGATAAGGAGTTATTTTTTCATCTCTGTAAATGCTTGACATCAGTTAAGAATTTAAAAATAGAAGGAATAATAAAACAAGGGGAAAGAAATGAAAGATAAGGCCCTTGAGAGGCAACTAAGGAATGGGGGTCCTCAGCAGCGTTGGTGACCGGCCGGCCTCTGATCAGAGAAACAGTGAAGAGTGAACCCCACAGGGACGAAGGCACGTGCTTCTCAAACCACCTTTCTGGAAAGTGCATCTCCAGCATCTTTGAGGAAGAAGCTGGAGAGCTTCATGACTTACATCCCAACACCAGCCTGTCATGCACGTTAACTGCTTGTCCCCGGGAATTCAGAACTCCAGGATGTTTGCCATTTGCTCACAGGGTTATCGAGAATTGCTGTGATGGACTCAACCAGCTTCTCAACAATTAACTCCTACATGGGGCTTATCAAACAGCTTCAGATCCCTTTAGTGTCCACCCAAACACACACATGGCTTCACCGATGTAACTGTTCATACAGAATTACAAAGGAACCAGGGACACAACGGTCACAACCAGGCACGGGGGTGATGTGACAAGCGGGTCAGAGCTGGGAAGAGGGTCTACGACAGCATCCGCTGCTTCCGAGTTCAAACCACCTACAGAAGGTGCGTTCATGCACTCGTGTCGGCTTCGAAATACTAGATTAAAGAGCGTGAGGTACGCATAACACCTGCGCACTTTCTGGAACTCGTGCAAAATTTCAGCAAGCACCACAGAGCCCCAGCCAGTAGGAAAACATTTGAAAACTTTATTTAAAGCGCTATTATATATAAGGAAAGGTCCAGAGTGAGATTTCTCATAGCTTATGAATATTTATTATAATACATTCTTGAAAACAACCAAAAAATTAAGTACAGTATAAATAGGAAACAGATTTATGAGTCAGTCACATGTTTACATTATGCAAATTATAGTTAAAGACCTATAACCAGGATATTGTTAAATGCCGAAGAAAGGTGGGGGGAGGGGGGAGAGCGCTGCTGATATTTGGACGTTTGCTTAAAATCGGCAAGTGATATTTTGAGTTTTGTTGACAATCTGTTCACCGAAGAGTGCCTGTGGGCACATCTTGTTACTTTCGCTAACCTGGTGGTGGAGTCCCAAATCCAAGGCAATGTCTAAGGCCTGGGGTTCTCATAGCCCCTTTGTTCATGGCAACAAAGGCTTTGTTGGACAGAAATGGAAGGAGTCCTGAACCTGAACCAGAAAGCTCTCACACACAGCAGCCACTCTCAGCCTTGGACCAATGAAGAGGCTTTGCCAACATGCTAAAAACTCCCACGGAGAGCTAGCTAAGAACACTTGTGTCTCCAGATGAACAAGAAAAGAAGCAGAAACAACAGTCTCTGGGCTGAATAACTTTCTCCAGTCCAGGATATCACCTTGGGCTTTGTGACACCAATCAAGCAGAGTGTCCTCTGAGTACAAACGCTGGGTACACAGGGTGAAAAGCAAAGGTCTTTCTCCAGGGGGGCTGGAGAGCTGAAGAAAGCCCCCTCTGCAAACTGTAAAGATCTGTAACCCCAAACTTTCACCCGATAACACATCGTTTACAGAGGGCTGACTGATAAAGGGTTGGTTTAGTCTTTTTTAATTTCTTATTAGGAAAATAATACATGGTCACCAAAAAAAAATCCACAAAACACAGAAAAGTATAATCAAGGAGAAAATTTCCAAAATAGAAAGGAAACTGGGGCATCTGGGTGGCTCAGTCGGTTAAGCTTCTGACTTCGGCTCAGGTCATGATCTCACGGTTTGTGGGTTAGAGCTCCACGCAGGGCTCTGCCCTGACAGTTCAGAGTCTGGAGCCTGCTTCAGATTCTGTGTCTCCCTCTCCCTCTCTGCCCCTGTCCTGCTCATGGTCTGTGTATCTCAGCAATAAAATAAACATTTAAAAAAAAAAGTTTTTATAGAATGGAACTTAAATTGGGGCCCCCTTGAAGTCAGAGACTTCAAAGGTGTTTTGCTTACAGCTCACCGGTGCCCTGGGCCCCAGGTGGAATGATGGGCTGGGAACCTTCTCCCCTAGCCACCTCCTGCCGCCCGCTACCAACAGCCCCAGATCCCTACCCCATATGCAACTCAGCACTCACTCCAAGGAGCTGAAATCAGTCACAAATGGTCTCTTCATAATGCAGCGGAAGAATAAATGAGTTACAGATTAAATAAACTTCCTCACCAGAAACAAAACCCCACCCAATCATCACCTTGCAAAACTCCCCTGCAATGCGCTGTGTGGCCCGAGGCAAGTTACTTGACCATCAGAGGCCTGATTTGTACATGGGGGATAAGAATAGTCCCTGTGCTTCATAGGACTGTGGGGACACTCCAACAAAAGGGCTCCACCCTCTGCACACAACCCGTACATGTTATTAACAACAACAGCACGTACTACCCTCAAAGGCAGCTCGGAATACAGTCATCGTGGGTATGAGGGTGTCTAGTGTCTTTTTTTTTTTTTTTCACATTTATTTATTTTTGAGAGAGAGAGAGAGTGAGAGCCAGGGAGGGGCAGAGAGAGAGAAAGGGAGACACAGAATCCGAAGCAGGTTCCAGGCTCCGAGCTGTCAGCACAGAGCCCGATGCGGGGCTCGAACCCACAAACCGTGAGATTTGACCTGACCCGAAGTCAGGCGCTTAACCGACTGAGCCACCCAGGCTCTCCGAAGGTGTCTAGTGTCTTAATACAAAAGCCAATATGTGTGCCAATAAACAAAAATAATGCACTATCAGATCTCTAAAGGCTGAAAATAAATCACTTCTGCCTTGATATTCTTCTAGGTCCGGCCTAAGAGTACAACCACCATTCCATGTATTTAATTCCATTAGCTGCAAAAGCAATTCAATCAGAATTCTTGCTTAATCCATTAATAACCACCAACCTGTCTTTGTGTCCTGGGGATTAACCAAGGCTAATATTTTATGTTGAGGTTCGTCACGGTACATGGTGCAAAAGCAAACAGACGAAGCTTCCAGTTTAATCTGAAAAAAATAAAAAAAATAATGAAATCACCCTTTTGTTCTGTCATCCTGGTAAGGGCACGGGAAATGACTTAACAATTAACTAGCACAATATTCACCAAAAGAACTGTTACACGGAGGTTAATTTGACAGGATGGAGGCAATTTAGAAATGGAAACCTTACCCACTCTGAGCTAAACACAAGTGGCAAGTGACAAAGGCCCTTCCTTTGTCTCCCACCCAGCAAAACCCTCTCCATCTATTGTTTACTTGTCCATCCATCCAAGGACGGATTAAATACCTACTCAACTGATACCTTTCCAGTCCCTCCCTTCCATATGCTTTGGGAAGCATCAGCTTCCCCCACCCAAATCCCCCTTAGGCCTCAGCCTACAAAAGCCAATGGCCGCACGCTCACCTCGGGCTTGCACCTGCCAGGCTGGCCTCCACTGTATTCCTGTGGCCACTCCATGGAAACAGCCTCAACAAGCCTGTGTCCACCCACGATGCCACTCAGGCTGCCTGCCGCCCTGCCACTGGTCTCCGCAAGCCATCTCAATAAACCCATACCCTCTCTGGGCCCTGCAGGCTCAGCTCTGGGTCTGGGGCGGCCCAGGGGCAGAGAACCTCAGTGCCGGTGCCTGTGTGCCTATGAACCAGAGGAACACCAAGCAGCATGTGTGCAGCCTGTAATGCGGGGACTGTCCGAGAGCCTTCTGGAAAGCGCTGCCATCCCAGCCCTCTTTGGGGCCATCGAGCCCACTGCTCCTGGCTCCCAAAGCAAAAGGCCAACATGTTCCACTGCAAAGCCTGTTTTGAAAACCGAGGAGAGTATAAGAAAATGAGAAAAGAATGTGTCAGCTGAGCGAGGCAGGCAGGATGCCTGTAAAAGTTTACAGCAGGCCTCCGTGGTTTTGGAGAACTGTTTCTTAACAAATTCAAGTCACCGTTAGGGACAGTCTCCGAGCTGGCCCTCCCACGGTGGTTCTGTGAAGCACAGTTTACCCACTAGAGGGCTGTTACAGGCCATTAAAAACAATACATACAGGAGCCCCTGACTGTCTCAGTGGGTGAAGCATGCGACTCTCGATCTTGGGGTTGGAGGTTTGAGTCCCACTTTGGGTGTAGCGATTACTTAAAAATAAAATCTTTTTTTTTTTTACATTTTTTAATGTTTATTTATTTTTGAGAGCAAAAGAGACACAGCGTGAGTGGGGGAGGGCCAGAGAGAGAGGGAGACACAGAATCTACAGCAGGCTCCAGGCTCTGAGCTCCGAGCTGTCAGTGCAGAGCCTGATGCAGGGCTCGAACTCATGAACCACGAGATCATGACCTGAGCCAAAGTCGGATGCTCAACCAACTGAGCCACCCAGGCGCCCCCAGAAATAAAATCTTTTCAAAAATATACACACAGAGCATTGTATTGACATAAAAAGATGTTTCTTACAGACAATATTGTATTCTGAGAGGACCTGAATGTTTAAAATGTATATGCAGAAATAAAAATCAAATGAAACACGTCAAAATGTTCACAGCAGTTAGCTTTGGTTTTTTTTAAATCTATCTGTCCCTGGCTACAGTTTCCCAAATATTATACAAAATATTATTGATTATGCAATTAATAATACAATTAATTATCCCAGCATACGGTGGTTTATTACCAGAAAAAAAAATCGTAAGTATTACTGTTTAAACGTGATAGGACAATTTCAAGACTGGAAACAGTTCATTAGGACTTTTTGAAGAACCAGATCGATGGGGTACGACATATACTCAAACCGCTTTCTCATCTTCCTTTTTGTTTGGAAAAATTTCTCTGGATTCAAAAAAAAAAGTTAAATTTGCTAAAAGCGAGGAGGTCCGATGCCACCCCAAATTAGACTATTTCAACCACTAAGTGGTACAAAACGGCTACCATTGCTTAAGTAATTGTTAAAATGGTAGGAAAACAAATGGATAATGTTCTCATGGAAACTTATTTTCCTTTAAGGGGGAGAAGCAGATAGATATAAAGTCATTTCAGCATTTCTATCACATAAAAACAACTTAATTTTAAAAACTGTCTTATTTTGTTATGTTTTTGCTAAGAACACTAAAATTACTGGCTCACTGAGCACACTTACATATTTGGGTTTTTTAAGGAAGGGAATCTCATAAATAAGCGTGAAATGAAAACAGAGGATTGAAACTGCATCCTAAGGTACTCCAGGGCTAACTCTTGTATTTCACCAGCTTCTCAGGTTATCTAGGTTTCCCCACACTCGGTCCCACCCGGCTCCCCAAGAATTAGCAACCCTCCCTAACCCTAATGGACAGCTTGCGTCCTCTTCCGGTTTAACCGCCACTAGGGGGCGCTGAAAGCGTGTGCGTGCAGGGACCTCCCTCTGCAGATCAACAATGTGGAATCACCCCAGAGATTCATCTAGGAGTTGATTATGAATTAGCATCTCCAAAATCTCAAGGAAGCCACACTATATAAGCTGCACAAGCCACTTTTCTAATTAACTCTGGAACAACCCTACTATGCCGGGTAGACAGCGATGATAATCTGATACGAGTAAAATCTTATAAAACAAGAAAGTCTTGTCTCTTCGAACATCAGACTCAAATCTGAAAGAAACGTGACTGACTTAGGTACAGCCCAAGATTCACATATTCTTTTTACTTACTGCATGGGGAAAAAACATTCTTAAAGGTAACACGATTTTAAAATTTTACCCACAGTCCACCATCCTAACAAATAAATGGTTTTCATTTCTCTCTGTTCCCTTCCAGTCCTTATTCAAAAGACAACCTTGGGGCGCCTGGGTGGTTCAGTCGGTTAAGCGTCTGATTTAGGCTCCGGTCATGATCTCATGGTTCATGGGTTCGAGCCCCACATCGGGCTCTGTACTGACAGTATGGAATCTGCTTTGGATTGTCTCTACCCTTTTCTCTCTCTCCCATTCTCTCTGCTCCTCCCCTACTCGCTCTCTATCAAAATAAATAAACTTTTTTTTAAAAATGCAATCTTATCGGTACTAAAAATCATTTTTTATATAATTACATTCCAGTTGACAAAACTTCATTCCAAATCACAAAATTTTAAAACTGAGCCAAACCCTAGAGACCAAAGAGCAACCAATCCCCTCATCTTACACATGGGGAAACTGAGGCCCAACCAGGCATCACACAGTGTCTCCTTCAGTCCCTATAACAACAGTACAAGATAAGCTCTGTTATTGTCCCAGTTTTAAATATAAGAACACCAAAACCAGAGAGGTTAAGACACTTGCTCGAGATCACACAGCTAGTAAGCGGTAAACGTGGGATTCACAACAGGCTGTCTCACTCACTGCCTCGCATAACTGGACTTTATACTCAGGACTCCCAAAACCTATTCTAGGATTCCTTCTGCTTCTCAAAGTGGAATTATTCTAGCATTCACTCTGGAAGTTATTATTTTCTTAATCTATAATATTCATTCTAGTACTGACCTTCTACTTTCTAGTGAGCTAGATTTTTCCAGAGCTTTCTACCAACAAGGAACATCACACATACCTGCTCCCCAGTGGGAAGAGAGAAAACCTCTACTGAGGACCGTATCCCTTCCCTGAGTGTCGCATAATAACCCAGAGTTGCTTCCAGATGCCTTTCAGGGTCATCTTCCAAAATATCCACTGGGTAAATGCCTGAAAGGAGGAAAGACAGCAAGAAATGACATTAGATTTACTCTTTTGTTAAAGGGAAAGTCCTTTATTTCTTGAAGTTTGGTGTATGTGTATGTGTGTGTTTGAGAGAGAGAAGGCATGAGGTGGGGGGGAGGGGTAAGTGAGGGAGAGAGAGAATCCCAAGCAGGCTCCACGCTGTCAGGGCAAAGCCCAACGTGAGGATCGATCTCAGGAACCATGAAATCATGATCTGAGCTGAAATCAAGAGTCAGACATTTAACCAACTGAGCCATCCAGGCGCCCTGCTGGGTTTTGTTTTTTGTTTTTTGTTTTAAGCACACAATTAACACTTGCTGTAAAAATTATGTTCACCTATTTTTTTTTTCAATGAAAAAGTGCCGCAACAGATGCCAAAAGAAACCAGAAGACATTCTCAATGGCAGGGGTGGCAGCAACCCTGGAGGGATAGGACATTCCACCCACACCCTCTTGCAACGCTACAGAAACTTCCTTCCATAAACCCAAACCATCAAATGGGTTCCCAAGTATCTATCTTCCCAGAGGGTCAGTCACAGCAGCCATGTGCACAGGCAGATACCTTGAGAGCCCACGCTAGCTGGTTAGAACTTTTTTTTTTTCTGAGAGAGAGAGAGAGGGCGTGCAAGCAAAGGGCAGAGACAGAGAGAGAGGGAGAGAGAGGGAAATCCGGGGCTCATCGGAAGCGGGGCTCGAGCTCACCCGATGCGGGGCTCAAACTCATGAACCGTGAGATCATGACCTGAGTGGAACTCAGATGCTTAACGACTGAGCTACCTGGGCACCCTGGTTAGAACCTTGATAACACTGACAAAGCCAGCTTGAGTTTTGCCAGCTTCCATATTCGCTGCGCAGGCTGATAAGATTTGCCAATTCTTCTCCCTGAGTTGGGCTACTGTTGTGTAAGAGAGCTGAAATGTACTAGTTAGTAGGAACTGTAAACCCACATGTCCATACACAGGGAGACTAGTGTATATATTAATTTGCAAGTTTTCCCCTGGCTCCTCCTCAGCATCTCTTTCTTATCATCACACTTGTAAAGGAAAATTACATCCTTGAATAATCATACAAATTGATAGCATCCAATTCAGCTTGGAAGCAGCAGTCGGCTTTCCCCTGAGATGCTGGCTGGCCTCTGGCTGGCGTGTGCCCAAGTGGGAGGGGACTCTGTCGCCCCCTTCTCTTCTGTGGATCCTGCCTCTGATTCAGCTCTGGGCCTCCTACGGGGGTGAGGCTGCCAAAATGGCTGCCTGATCACCCCCTTCCTCCTCCTCCCCTCCTCTACCTCCTCAAGAAAGATAAGCCTTCACATAAACACTCACAGAGATAGCGGCTTCCCACCTTTCTCTCAGAACCTCCATTCCTCCTGCCAGCTACTTTTCAGGAAACGGGCTGCTGTTAGCAGCAAAGGGTTTCAAGTCCCCAGTCTTTGCCTGTGAGGAATGTTACTGCCATGGATTAGTTACTGGGGGAAACGCTCACAGAAAAGGAGGGATGTCAGGAACGCCTGTGGACCAGGGCCCCGCCTCTGCATATGCCCAAACCCTGCCCCGGGCTTTACATGCTGACAATGTCATGGGCACACACAGACTGACAGAGAGATGAGCAAATACATTCTCCCGCTATTCAATGTTCTAAAAAAGGATGTGAGGGGCGCCTGGGTGGCTCAGTCAGTTAAGCGTCTGACTCTTGATTTCGGCTCAGGTCGTGATCTCACGGTTCGTGGGATCGAGCCCCCATCGGGGGGCTGACAGCTCTCCTGTTCTCTCTCCCTCTCTCCCTGCCACTCCCCCACATTCTCTCTCTCTCTCTCTCTCTCTCTCTCTCTCTCTCTCTCTCAAAATAAATACACATTAAAAAAATATTTGAGTATAAAATGTGTACCCAAAAATTACAACTATAAATGCACTGATACAAATGTTTCAAATAAAGACGGAAGAATTAACAGTCCTCTTGGTGACTATGAAAAAGTCCATGATGAACTCTGGGATCTCTCCCTCTTAAAAAGGGCTGTATCTCTGTATAGCCAACATATTCTGTTGCAAAAGACACACACTGGTGGACGGACGGACACACACACAGACACACACACACACACACACACACACACACACACAGAGTCAAGGATGTCCAGACTCCTCCCTTTGAGACCAGAAGCCCCAAAAACCAACCAGACATTGCAGGCTGAACCTGTAGACCTCCCCTACACCCTACTGGGCCTTCCTAGCCCAGAGGGATCCAAGCTGGAACCCTGGCTCCTACCTCAGGGTCCACTTCAAACCTGTCACCAAGACCTGCCTGCGTCACCTGTCTCCATGCTCATCCTTAGTCCTGAACCTCAGCATCTCAGCCACCTGCCACCTGCCATCGACCAAAATAACCCAGCTAGGTTGCCTGGGGCCCAGGTCCAGCAGGATGCTGAGTGCTCTCTAGCCCTTATTTCACTCAGTTGGCTTAACCCCCGTTTCCAGAGGAGGAAACTGAGGCCAAGAGGAGAATGTGCGGCTAGTCAGTGGCACCAGCAGGTCATGAAGCTCCGGCTGATTCCAAAATCGGTGTAACAGTCAGATTACGTCAGCGATCCCATCAAAAACGATCTCCTCCACCCAGCTCCGAAGGCCCTTCATAATTCCACGCCCCCTTCACCCAACACGCTTCTACACCTGCACCCCCCACTCCTTCTATCGTGACCTCCCCAAGGCCCATCTCAAAAACCGGCACTCCCTGAACCCTTCACGGAGCCCCCAAAGGCAAGGCCTCTGGGGGCCTCTGAGTCCTGTGTTCGAATCCCAACTCGGCTTAGGATGGGACTGACTCTGTCTCTGCGGCCTCCCCTGCCCATCAGGGCCTCACATGCATGAACTCGCTGGGCCAGAGAGGCAGCCTCACCCCACTGGCTCCCAAGCCAGGAACACGGAGTGCTCCTCAGAGCACCTGGTGCTCACGCTTCTCTCCTCTCCCACCCTGCCGCCGAGACCCCTCCCCAGGCTTTTCCCACCCCGAGCACTTAGGAAATCTGGGCGGGTGTGTAGCCGGGCTCTCTGTTCAAACCGCTCTTCACTTCCTCTAGACAGTCGAGTGGCTTCCCGCAGCTATGAAAAAAGACCGTGCACGTTCAAATGAATGAAGAAAAACAAACTGGAAAGAGGGTGGCTTCAACCCTGAAGCACCCAACTCAAGCTGCATGTTCGCCCCATGAAAACAGCTTCAAGAACACGCTCTCCTAACTGCCCCCAGGAGCTCTGTCTCAGGAGCGAGTAAAGGACCCCCCCCCCCCCATACTCTCTGTTGCTGGGATCTTCTCAGGAGCGATGCCTGTCAGACCCAGGCATCTAGTGCACTCCAGTGAGGTCGACGGCTACCAGGAGAGGGTCACCAACCAGCTCCACCAAGAAGCTGAACTTGGCCCCTTGGGGGTCAGGGAGGACACTGTGGTCTTCAGGGCTTTGAGAGAAAGGACACCCCACCAGGGCCACAGGGCCCAGAAAGCCTGGGAGCTCCTGGGGGGCCCAGAGAGGTTCCTGTTGGCTCCCCTACAGGCTGCCAAGGGTTACCTGGCATCAGTTCTGGTCGCCTGTGGTCAGGAGAAATGCAATGAATGTGTTTTGCTCCTTTACACACCATGAAATCATTTCCCCTGCTGCTTCCGCTGCTGAGGCTGGGAGACCCCCTCAGAGAACTTGGGGGGAGGGGCAGTAACCTCAGGACACCCTTGGCCTTCCTGCCTCCACTGTCAGCTGGGCCCAGGGGCAGAGCCCTGGGGTGGGGGTGGGGTGGGGGTCTTCTCAGCAGGAAGGCCACCAGAAAAGTCGGGCCTGCCTCTGGGGGTCAGGACCCGGCAGGGCACAGACTAACCCTCTGGGAAGCGGAGGGCACCTTTGAGCATCTCAGGCCCCACACAAAACGCAGCACCCGTGCCGCACCCAGGCCCGCTCCCCCTTTAAAGCCTCCAAGCCAGGCGTAGACCCCACATTCCCCAGAAGTGCCCTGGGACAGGCAAACCAGTCTGGGAGAGGCGGCTCAATTCTTCAGCCCTTTGGGTTTTAATTAGCTCTCCTCCGCCTGGGTGGTAAGTGGGGGGGCAGGAGCTCCCCCATAAGAAAAGCTCCAGCAGCTTCACTCTTACAAAATGTGTGGGTTCGGTTTCTAGAAATCTGCGTGGGAATGAAAAAAGGAAATGCTTCAGACAGGAGCGGGGGGGACATCCAGTACCTGATGGGAAAGGGGACCCCTGCTCTCCCAGGGGAATAAAGACCCCTGCCCAACTTGGCAGGAAGAGAGACTCCCTCCCCAGCCCAGGATGAGCATACACACACACACACACACACACACACACACACACACACACACAGGAGACCCCGAGAGAGGAAGGAAGCCTCCCACCCACTCACCCCCCAGACCGCAAGGGCACACTTGGGCAGTGCCCAGGGGCCTCCAGGAAGTAAACAAGTCTGGGACGTCTGACGCAGGCGCTCTGGAGGCTGAGCTGGGACCGCCGCACTGGCTTCGCTGGTGATGGAAGGCAGACTCCGGGCAGGGGCTTCCAGATGTGAAATGCTAACAGGCTTTAATGGCTTCAACTGAACAGGAAATGTTTTTCCAAAGCCAAAAGAATGTAATCTTTTCAGTACAACGTAAAATGCTTTTATGAAAAAGACACCCAGTTGAAATAATTCACTGAAGCCTGTAAAAAAAAAAAAAATGAGATCCCCAAACGAGCCCCCAGTTTAAGAATTCATATTAAGCATATGTTTGCTATAGTCACCGGAACAACAACAACAACGTGGTACCTCTTAAAGCATACTTCTAGGGAAAATACTTAAATCATTCTTTGTACTGAAGTCCCAGTTCCCAGGGCTGCACGGATGGTACCCAACACTCCCCCGAGCCACTGCCTGTTACCCACTGCTGATCAGCCATGGCCACTCCAGGGCCACCCACTGCTTCTCAGTCTGGCAAAGCCTAATGCTCTAGAACCTTCTCAG